GGGAATGGGGGGTCTGGGAGCTACTGGGAGCCATGTGTGAGAGCGAGACCTTGCGTGCTGCTCACCTCCCCCCATGCCCTCCCACACGGGCCTGACTTTTCAAATTATTTCGCAGGTAGGGTTGCCAGATGGTTTAACAAAAATTACCGAACCCTCCCCTACTTTCACCCTCCCCCCCCAAAAAATGGGAAAAATTCTGCTGAACAGGGGGGTCTGGGAGCTACTGGGAGCCATGTGTGAGAGCGAGACCTTGCGTGCTGCTCACCTCCCCCCATGCCCTCCCACACGGGCCTGACTTTTCAAATTATTTCGCAGGTAGGGTTGCCAGATGGTTTAACAAAAATTACCGAACCCTCCCCTACTTTCACCCTCCCCCCCCAAAAAATGGGAAAAATTCTGCTGAACAAAAACAACCCGCCAGCAAAAGTAGTTGAACAAAAAAAAAAAAAGGGCCCGCTCCATCCCCTCTACATGTCCAGTATTTTCTGATTTTTTTTTAAACTGAACGCAAATACCAGGCTGTCCAGTTCAATACCGGACACCTAGCAACCCTATTCGCAGGCCAGATTGGAGAAAGGCTCAGGCTGCAGATGGGCCCTGGGCCTAACACTGGAATAGTAGGAGATATTAGATAGTAAAACTCTTGTGCTTTGTAAAACCTGAGACTAGGATTCAGCTCTGGAGCAGCAAGAAATTCAGGCCTGAGGGGCCTCAGAAAAGATGTGTGAGACCGGCATTAGAAGAGCTGTGGGAGTAGGGCTGGAAGAAGGAGATTTACCAGACAGGAAGTGTGTGCATCTGCAGAGTGGTATATGTGTCTCATGGCTGGAGGGATCTTTAAGGAAAACTCCTATTATGTCAGCCTGCCACATGTCTGGAGTAGGAGTGTTGTGTAACAGATCGCCACACATGTCAATGCGGCTACGTCTACACTGGCATGATTTTCTGAAAATGCTTTTAACGGAAAAGTTTTCCGCTAAAAGCATTTCGGAAAAGCACATCTAGATTGGCAGGATGCGTTTCTGCAAAAGTACTTTTTGCAGAAAACGTCCGTGGCCAATCTAGACGCGGTTTTCCGCAAAAAAGCTCCGATCGCCATTTTCGCGATCGGGACTTTTTTGCGGAAAACAGTACTGTGCTGTTTACACTGGCCTTCTTGCACAAATGATTTGCGCAAGACAGCTTTTGCCCGAATGGGAGCAGCACAGTATTTCCGCAAGAACACTGACGATCTTACATGAGATCATCAGTGTTCTTGCGGAAATTCAAGTAGCCAGTGTAGACAGCTGGCAAGTTTTTCCACAAAAGCAGATGATTTTGCGGAAAAACTTGCCAGTCTAGACACAGCCTGCCTGTACTACACTGTATGCATGTAAAAAGAGATTTGTGGCCTTGCAGTAGGCAGTTTTCTGGGTCTTACTGGCACTGGAAAATGTTTCTCTTAAAAAAAAAAAAAAAAGACGTTTTGCCTTTATACATTTCAGAAAATAACAAATATCACAGGAATTACACAAAACTGTAACAAAAGCTTAAAGGACTGCAGCCAGTGGGTAACCATCATACACTTTGCCTGCCCCATAATGCCACTAGCACTGTGTTCCACAACTGCCACCATGAGATCAGTACAAGTATTTCCGTTGGCTCAGTTTCTCACTACTCCCTTTATTTCTTCTCCTTGCTGGCACAAGGCCTCTTCCTTTGTTTCATGTTGCTCTTGCAGATTTCAAGGGTCAGACTGAGGTGAAGATCTTGGAAGGGGACATCCGGGATGTTATGTTCTTGCACAGTGCCTGCCAGGGTGTCTCCCTTGTCATCCATTCGGCATCCATCATTGACATCTTGGGCATTGTGGAGAAGCAGCTGCTCTGGGAAGTCAACGTAACAGGTGAGCAGAGTGGATTTCCTTTGTTGGATTAAGCCTTGTGTCTATCAAGCAATCACCATCATCTGCCTAGCACTGGAGACTTTTGTCCTGATGAAGCAGCTGAGTCACTGGGTTACTTGGTGCCTCATGCAACCATATACACCCACAAAAAGTGTGCATAGAGCTCTGCCAGGCTGATTGGGTAGCACTGGGTACCCACTGTGCAGCAGTGTAAAGAGGCAGGGCATTGCAGCATCATGCCCTAAGACTAGAATCAGAGACTTCAGGGAGCAAAGACACTGTTAATCCCTAGAACCGTCATGCCTACTGTGTTAACTGGCTGAAAAATGCACAGAAAGGTATTTTTAATTCCAGCACCCATTCCCGTTCTCCTCCAGGGCTGCAGAGACTTGCCTATGTTTAAAGTATTACAGGTTTTATACATAATTACCGTCACCTCCTATAACCAGCTCACCTCAGGACTCTCCTCGCCTATGCTTCCCCTTTTCTTTTCCCTTCTCTTCACCTTGTCTTTCCCTCTGCCTTTAGCTTTCTTCCTGCAATCTTCAAAGGCAGGAGGGGCTCCTACATCCTTCCAGAAGCTCACTGTTAATATTCCATCATCAAACTGAACAGAGGGTTCTTAGTTTGACCCAGTGTGGACATACTTAAGGGTCCATCTAGTCCACTATCCTGTCTGCTGGCAGTGGCCAATGCCAAGTGCCCCAAAAGGAATTAAGAGAACAGGTCATCTTCAAGTGATCCATCCTCTGTTGCCCATTCTCAGCTTCTGACAGAGGGTAGGGACACCATGCCCGCCCATTCTGGCTAATAGCTATTGATGGACCTAACCTCCATGAATTTATTTAGCTCTTTACTGGCCTTTACAACATCATCTGGCAGAGAGTTCAAAAGCTGATTGTGAGTCGTGTGAAGAAGTCCTTCCTGCAACTATTAATTTCATTTGGTGACCCCTAGTTCTGTTGTTATGGGAACAGGTAAATAACTATTTCTTATTTACATTCTCCACACCAGTTATGATTATATAGACCTCTATCATAGACCCTCTAAGAATCAGGAGAGAGAGAAGTTAGGTTGAGAGCTACCTAAACCATAGCTTTCTCTGCCACATAATCACAAGCAACTTATCAGTCATCTAGCTATTTTTTGTTTGGTGGGCTGTCTCAGTTGTTCACATTAAAGAAATTAAATTTAACTCATCCTCCTCCCCCTGTGACTGAAGTCCTGAGACACATATTGAAAATGAACTCAGGTAAAAGTTCCTCTCAAGGCAATGAGGCTATTCACGTAAGTAAGGAATACTTATCACAGAAAATTAGAGTTAAAGCTCAAAGCAGGACCAATCCTAACTAAATCATCCCAGCCAGGGCTTTGTCAAGCCAGGACTTAAAAACCTCTAGGGATGGAGATATTCCCCCACCACACATACACCACGGTAACCCATTTCAGTGCTTCACCAACCTCCTAGTGTAATAGGTTTTCCTAATATCCAACCTAGACCTCCCCCACTGCAACTTGAGACCATTGCTCCTTGTTCTGTCATCTGTCACCACTGAGAATAGCCTCTCTCCATCCTCTCTGGAACTTCCCTTCAGGTAGTTAACGGCTGCTATCAAATCCCCCCTCACTCTTCTCTTCTGCAGACTACATGAGTAAGAATTTGCAGGACTGGCCCATTAAATATACACTACATGACAGATACACAAATTAATAATGCTGAGAGTACCTGATTTTTTTTGTATTTCTACCATATTTTATTTTAAATGCACATCCTTAATACAATTTGGTCTGCATTTAATTTTATTGGGGTCAGTGTTATATTAAACAGATACTACTTTGACAAATCTCCCCCTAACCTCCATATTTGTACCTCACTAGTTTTCCATTACTTTTTTTAAAAATTCACAATAGTGGAAAGCTAATTAAAAACTTTTCCTAAAACCTTGTATTCTGTGTTGTCTAGGCACAGTGGTGTACATGAATTCAGTTTTTTAACTATTTTATTCTTGGCTGCTTAACAATAGTGCTTTTTTTTTCAAAGTGAGGTCTTCATTACTTCCTAGTTGTCCAAACATCTTTTCTTTAGTTTTCTTGTTAAAGACGGATGGAGTTCCGTATGCCAGTCATGATAAAGTCAGTAAGTCCTCCTATTTCTCTTCTCATTATTAAACAGATCTAAATTGTTTATTAGTGTTTCTTTTCCCCTACAAAATCCTTTTCATTCCCCATAGTCTCTTTGGCAATATTAACTGCAATATCATTCTGCATTTTGCAGACTCTGTCTTTTCCACTAACAGACTGAATAGTCTTGCTTGGGCACTTCCTTCCTTCATTTCTAACTGTTATTAATTTAACACTCAGACCTTTGATTTCTGAAGCCAGGTTAGGAATTTCTTGTTTACTTGTCTGTTTTGCTATGCTTGGAAGATGAAGTTGAGCATGCAGTCTTTGGTGTATGCATTACAATAGCTTTTAATTTGAAAAAAATAATGTGATTGTGCATTTTAAAAATACTTATATTCCATACAGAAAGCTTTGATAAAGAGCTCACCAAAGTTCTAAAGTGGAAAGCAACAGGCAGGAAATGCCAGGATGATGGACGCAAGCTGCTTTTTGTTCATTATAATGTAGTCTTTGATTATGTGACTATATACATTATCTTTGTGGCATCCTACTTTATTCAAGGACCGCTCCAAAGTCAGACTTGATTGAAGTCAATAGAAAGACTACCACAGATTTGAGCTGGCTTAAGTCCATCCCCATTTAGGGAAGCATTTAAGCACATTTCTGTCTCAAAAAGGATGGAATGTAAAAGCTATCCTTTTTACTCATATTTTTGTGAGTGTGTGTGTGTGTGTCCCTCCTCTCAAGATGTCTTAGTAGGTGCTATGTCTCTCTGGGGTCTCATATTTTAATTTTTTATGTATATTTATATTGCGTTTTAAAAAAAATTGTAAGCTGCCTCATATTTTAAATAGAGAGGCGGAGTAAAAATATTTTTCATAAATAATGTAACAACAGGACCTCAGAATACAGGATGGAAGGTGCATAATGAATGAGGCAGAGCCTTAAAAATCCCTGTCTCAACAGCATAAATTTGAAGTCAGTGAAATTTAGTATAAGTAAGAGCAGAAGTTATCCCTCAGTGCAGTGCTTAGATCAGTGTTTATTTGGCCACGGAACCGCTAGGGTTGCCTTAAAAAAAAAAAAAAAAAAAAGGCCCTTGCCATGTTTCATCAAGGAATAAAAAAGGCGAGTCCCGCCGCAAAAAAATAAAGGCTCTGTCTCTTTAAGACAGGGCGGGAGAGCGGCTCCTTGTGGAACCCTTACTTTTGCTTCGTGGAACCCTGGAGTTCCACAGAGCACCACTTGGGAAACACTGGCCTAGACAATACACAAACCAAACCAAAAACAAGTAGTTGTTTGATTAAACAGCTTGTATGAGCTTCATCCTGGGATAACCCAAGAAGGGGGAGGGGAGGTGTGCAAAGAGTGCAGTTGTCTTGGGACTTGGCGATTTAAAAGGGCTCTGGGCTTTGAGCCACCCCTACTGCTACCATGGTAGCAGCAGCGGACTGCACCTGGGCCCTTTAACTCATCAACAGTACCTCCTGTTGCATATTCCAGGCAGCACTAAAGGCTGTTTGGGGGAGGCTAGCCCCTGGTCCTGACCCTTCTGCCCATGGTTTCTCCCCCCCCCCAAACGCACCTTGTCCAGTCCTCCACAAACAGCTACGCTGACTCCTTCTTCCCAACTCAAAAAAAAATCCCAAAATATTCAGTTTCATTGTACCTAATTCAAGTGAGGACTCCTGTCAGCCTCCGGAAGGAGGAACTGACAGTATCAGGAGGCTCTGTGGGAAGTTGTTTCAGGAGATGCCATATTCCTAGGGATTTCTGTACCAAAAAAACCCGCAAAATTAAAATTGAGCACTCAATATTTTAATATTCTACAAAATTCTGCATATTTTAATTGTCAGATTAACACAATATTATCACAAGTTTCAATTATTTTCATAATTTATTTTGAAATATGTCAGCAAATATGTCTATAGCAATACAGACAACAAAATAGATTTAAGAAATAGATTCCTGACTAAGTATATTCATGCAGAAATCTGGTGATAATTAATGTAAGCCATAATACGAACCTGTATTTCCTCCTTCCCCAGAAGCAGTGCAAATGCTTGGGGCAACTGGAGGTAACAGAGTAGCTGAGGAGGAGGGTTGTTGGGTATGAGTGAGAAAAGTATGGAGCAGGGCTTTTTGGGGGGGTGGGAAGGGATTGTTAGGGAGCTACCCCCATGCAGACCCTTGCTGACCCCTAACTTCTCCCATTCAGTCAGGCCCGTGTCCCTCCATCCCTAGTCAGACACAGACCCCCTCGCTCCCAGCTCCCACCCCAGTTTGGCCCTGCATCCCTCCATCTGTCTACCTGTGTCTTTATGCCCCCAATCTCTATATCCCCATGTGGTCCTGTATCCCCTACTCTGTGCCCCCACTCAGCCACTGCCCTTCCTCCTGTAGCTCTGCACTCCATTCCCCTTGGCCCATGTGTCCCGCATTCCCTCCGCTGCCCCATGTATCTCAGTGCACGCACTCAGGCACCTCCCTATCCCTGCATAGCCCTGCACCCCCTTCCTCTGTGCCTAAACCTCATTCAGCCTCTGCCCCAGGCTGTCTTCCCTCACTAGTTCTTGTGAGCCCCCATCTGACTCCACTAGCAGCTCTGTGCTATCTCCCCATATCCCATCTCTTGACCTGGCTGGGGAGGTGCTGTGAAGAAGGCTCCACAGACTCTTTCTCTTATCTAATGGGAGTGGCTGTTCTATTGTCCTGTCACAGCACTCTCTGGTAGGCAACAGGCAGCACTGCAGCAGAAGCTATTTACTGAACCAAACTATGCACCACACATGCACAGTGGCGCAGAATTCCCCAGGAGTAATGCACTTTCAAAATAATAAGCATACCTCCTCTCTGAATGGGGAAGCTCTAAATCTGAAGCTCCATCAGCAGGGGTCACTCTAGCTACAAGCAAACTAGGCAGCGGCCTAGAGTGACAGATTTTAGGGCAAAGTCATTTCTGGGCTCCTCTGGACGGTGCTGCAGATTGGTCTACTGAAGTGTGAAGTGCTCTAACAAAAAGTAGCACTCTCACTGCCCCGTGTGGACACTGCTGGCATGATCTAAAAAGTATCTAGTCCAAGTGGATGCAATCCTCTTGCAAACAGGATTGCAGTTACACATACTGCTCCTGGTTCATGTCAGTAGGGTCTCCACAGACCAGTTAGAGTGCTCTGCAATTCTTCCTGCAGGGCCATGTAGGCAAGCAGGTAGGATGTTTTGATTAGAGTGGCAGATTGTGGTGAGTGGCCTCAGTCCATGAAATTGTCTTGTAGTTTTCTGTCATATGATACTAACATGTTCCTCTTTTCAAGGTACCCAGTTACTGCTGGATACCTGTGTCCGCAATAATGTCCAGCACTTCATCTACACCAGTACTATAGAGGTGACAGGCCCAAACTGCAGAGGGGACCCCATATGCAATGCAGATGAAGATACGGCCTATTGGAGCTCACCAGGATTTCTTTATACCCAGTCTAAGAGACTGGCAGAGATGTCTGTGCTGAAGGCAAATGGCCAGGCACTGAAGGATGGTGGCATCTTCCTGACCTGTGCCTTGAGGCCCACGTACATCTTTGGAGAAGAAAGTCCATTTCTCCTGAATCACCTGGATCAAGGCCTCTTGAACAAAAATGTCTACCTGCGGAGGTCTAGGAAAGAAGCGCTGGTGAATCCTGTATATGTGGGGAACATTGCATGGGCTCACATTCTCGCAGCAAAAGCCCTGAGGAACCCAGAAAAGGTCCAGCAGATCAAAGGGAACTTCTACTACATCTCTGATGACACTCCTCACATGAGCTATGCTGACCTCAATTATGAGCTGTCCAAGGAGCTGGGGCTTGGGGTGGAGCCCCACTTGCCCATGCCGCTGACGATGTGGTATTACTTCGCGCTACTGCTGGAGATTGTGAGCTTCCTGCTTAGGCCCTTTGTCAAATACATCCCTTCCACCAACCGAAAGCTTGTGATCTTGATGAACACACCATTCACTGTCTCCTATAGGAAGGCATGGAGGGATTTTGGTTACGTGCCCCGCTACAAATGGAAAGAGGCCAAGCAGCGCACCAGCCAGTGGATTGCCTCGGTGATTCCGCAAAGAAGGGAGTACCTGAAAATCAAGACTGCCTAAGCCTGAGAGAAACTGAGGCATGACAAGAGGAGCAGGCCCATGAGCTACAGATGAGGAGGATATATTGCAGAAATAGAAGACAACAAAGCATTGAAACGTGAAATCTGTGATGAAAAACAGAAATGAATAAAGAATATTACACTCTCCATTTGTTTGTGGTAGATGGGCTATCCTTATCTTCAGGGGGTAGCCGAGTTATTCTGTTAGGGTATGTCTACACTACCACCCTAGTTCGAACTAGGGTGGTTAATGTAGGCAACCGGAGTTGCAAATAAAGCCCGGGAAATTCAAATCCCGGGCTTTATTTGCAACTCCGGTTGCCTACATTAACCACCCTAGTTCGAACTAGGGTGGTTAATGTAGGCAACCGGAGTTGCAAATAAAGCCCGGGAAATTCAAATCCCGGGCTTTATTTGCAACTCCGGTTGCCTACATTAACCACCCTAGTTCGAACTAGGGTGGTTAATGTAGGCAACCGGAGTTGCAAATAAAGCCCGGGAAATTCAAATCCCGGGCTTTATTTGCAACTCCGGTTGCCTACATTAACCACCCTAGTTCGAACTAGGGTGGTTAATGTAGGCAACCGGAGTTGCAAATAAAGCCCGGGAAATTCAAATCCCGGGCTTTATTTGCAACTCCGGTTGCCTACATTAACCACCCTAGTTCGAACTAGGGTGGAAGTGTAGATATACCCTTACAGAAAAGAACAACAAATGGTCGGTAGCACTTTCTAGACTAACGATCTACATGTTTTGTTAGTTTATAAAGTGCTACTGACCATTTGTTGTTCTATCCTTATCTTGTTATCATTGTTTCTGTATAATCCTCACCCACCTTTCCTCCACAGCACAGGCACTTACATTTGAATAGAGTCCCTTAAGAAGCATTCTCAATACTTACTTTTCTCCCCACTATACCTTAGAGTATGTTTATCCTACACAGTTTTGTCGGAAAACCAGCCATTTTTCCGTCAAAACCTGACTTACGTCCACCCTGCAATTGCATTCTTTCGAAAGAAAATCGAAAGAACAATGGGGTTTTCCCAACATTGGTAATCCTCTTTCTACGAGAAAGAAGCCTTTTTCCAAAAGAGCTCTTTCGCAAAAAGGCATGTGTGGACAGGGAAATGGGAGTTCTTTCAAAAGAAGAGGAAAAAGGAAAAAGCACAGGTCCCCTGGTGGCCACTCTGTCCATTGATCACAGCTTACATGCAAGATAGCTTTTGGCTACATCTACACTGGCACCCTTTTCTGGAAATGCTTAAAACGGAACAGTTTTCCGTTATAAGTATTTCCGGAAAAAGCGCGTCTACATTGGCAGGATGTTTTTCCGGAAGAGCACTTTTTCCAGAAAAGTGTCCGTGGCCAATGTAGACGCGCTTTTCCGCAAAAAAGCCCTGATCGTCATTTTCGCGATCAGGGCTTTTTTGCGGAAAAAAAGTTTTTCCGGAAAAGGACTTTTGCCCGAACGGGAGCAGCACAGTTTTTCTGGAAAAACAATGACAATTTTACATTAGATTGTCATTGTTTTTCTGGAAAAGCAAGCGACCAATGTAGACAGCTGGCAAGTTATTTCGGAAAAGCGGCTGCTTTTCCGGAATAAGTGGCCAGTTTAGACACAGCCCTAGTGTGTGGACGCTCTCTTTTGGAAGCAGTTTTTTCAGAAGATCGCTTCTGAAAAAAGGTTCTTCGGAAAGAAGCCTGCAGTCTAGACACAGTTTGAGACTTTAGGAAAAGCAGTGAAGACTCCATTATTATCTTCCTCACCAGACACACACACAGAGATACCATGCTCCATCTACCATCACTTTACTATATATTTGGGAAATCTGCATCTCTGCCTATCTGTCTTTCTGTGAGTCTGCATATTTAACAACTCCTCCTAAAGGGTAAGAGCTAGGACCAGGAGAGGCTCTAGTTTTTTTGCTGCCCCAAGCAAAAAAATTTTA